CGAAAAGTTACCCTGACATACAGGAGATGCAGCACCTTGTTCGATATCCTGCGCAACGAAAAGGACCGATTCAGGGTGGAGAAACTATCAGGCGTCTACACAATCCCGCTAAGAGATAAGCAGTTTAACAGGGATCTAGTATATATAGGATTGACTAAACATTCGTTAGGGGTTAGGATAAAAGAGCATATCGCGGATATACAACACAACAGACGCACCACCTCACTCTCCACCTTCGCCACGGATCCTGAAATTGTGGCGGATTTCAATAGAGCGCGTGTAATTGTCACCACACCCCATATTCATCACCTAAAGTGGTTGGAAGAGATGGAAATTTTTAAGGCATACGACACATCCACATGTATTAATTCAAGAGACGAAATAGGCCTTTCCATGGCATGGCAAAACGCACTACATACTACTCCGTATGTAGTGCGTTTTGCCATGCCATGGATACTATTTATTAAGTACAACGGTATACTATTTATTAAGTGTTAAAAAATAAAATAAAATAAAAGGTACTGGGGAACATGTGAGAACATTATTGGATAATTGTGTATCAATGGCACGTTTTTTAAATATCCTAATAATATTTTTCTCTTGAATATGGACATTTATTGTTATCGTCGAACACTTTCAAACATATCACGTGACGAAATAAATGAACGAACCATGCGATTCAAACTCAGCAGCATTTGGATGTATTCAAATTTTTTCGTTTGATGTTCGATCCAGCTATACCTGAAGAAGAGCCCAGAAGGGGTTAAGAAAATGTTTGTATTGGAAAGATTAATTTCTATACACATCGGTTAAAGGTTCAAGTAGGTCTTATTTATTTTTACACACCCCGGTGTGCAGTTGCTGCTTTATAATTATTGGGAAGATTTGTGTTGCTCAAATGGGCTTCAAATGACACAGGCCTTGGAACCGATCATTATTTTTAAATTAATCACTTTTTTCAACTATTTTGGCTATATATCACTATTTCCCACTTTTTCTGCTGTTATTGGCAACAATGTTTTTGTGACGCCAAGCTGTCACATGTTACTTATTAATTAATGATTAAATACTTAAATTTTGACGTCCATAACATCTTTCTCTTGTTGCACGTTGAAAACTTCTTGTTATTATATGAGTTTTGAGATCTTAAAAATGTTAGTTACACAATGTCATAAATTTGAGAGTACACAGTCTAATGTGGACAAAATTATTTTTGAAATAGAGTATTTTAATTCCTTCTGAGCCCCTCACAATTAACCTTCACATCTTCAGCTGTTGTATAGATTACTCCCTGGTGGAATTTTGGGACTTTGAGTATATATCTGAACTGAGGGGACTGAGACGAGTTTTATGGTACCCTACTTTTGAACTGGAGACAAAAAGTAACAAAGTTATATTTACGATTTCTTGCCTTTCACACTGCATTCTATGCCATTTTAGAGTTTTCCATGGTAATGTATTTAATCCAACCGCATGTAGACTTGCAACCTTGAATATTGTTTGAGCTGAAATAAAAGGTTTTCTATTAGCCTAACTAGTGACAGTCACCTTCTGGAGGGATAGGTTAGGTTTTTTGGACAAGCCGCGAAAGCAGTGCATAGTACTAGCTGACTGCAAGCGTGTCAGTGGCTGAGGGGCCATAGGCCCCGAGGTTGAGGAGCATGGGAGTGTGTGAAAAGAACTTACTCCAAATGCATTACTCCAAACTTTTATCTCATGTTATATCAAGGTTATATCATGAGTGCATGCAACAAAGTGATATTGCATAAATTGCATGACTAATTCATGCAATGTTCCATGATTGCTAGCACACCTTCTATGGGCTTAGAGTTGAGTCCGTTCTTGGATATTAATGGGCTGATTTTAATAAAACTTTGCCATTTTCCATTAATTGTGATGATGAATCCAAATATGTTTTGAAGGCCCATTTAAATGTTCAAAATAAGAGTCCATGACTGTTTTCAATGTACAGAGGTGTTAAAGTGACAATGTCCAGGCTCTCTGATGTGAATGAGCACACCTAACAGAATTTAGATCTAGAGGTCAAAAATAAAGACAGCATTGTGTGCATGTAATGGAAAATGGGTGTAAAAAATGAACAAAAAACAAGAATAAAGCAATCAGTGATGATTACTTTGTTTTGGATTGTCTCTTGTACCTGGCGTGCAAGGATTGTCTCCTCCATTGATGGCAGTTAAAGGAGAGCCTCTTTTGTGATGGCAAGTGCAGTTCACCTGTTTGCATCCATCAATCAAATACAAGAATCACCTCTTCTACTCTTCTATGCCTAACAGGTACAGGGTTCACCAGTGAGTGATGCATTGTCCTATGGGCAAAAGAGCAATTGCTTGGGTTCCTCACCAACAGGGAGCCCAAAATCAATCTTTTATAAACTTGTTACTGTAGTAAGGATATCAAAATTTAAATTTTGGTAATATCTGGGGATCCTAGATTGATGGTTTGGTGCAAGTGCAAGGTGTGCTGGTACAGCACAAAAATTGCATAAAAAACAAACGAGGATACTGGGCAATTTTGACAAGAATTCCCTGAACAAAACTTTTTCAAGTCAAAGCTGTATATGGGGCTCTCTAATTCAAATTTGTCTGAGGGCCTATGAAGCTACTAGGGATTGTTTTTTCTTTCTGGCTCTGTCTCAATTCCATCACAATATGAAAGTTGTGCAATATCCTAGCTCATCTATATAAATGAGAATGTTGCGCTCTAACTCTGTTCAAGGGAACATTTTTGAATTGAAATAACATGTTTTCTGGTGCAAATCAGAAGTTCATATATAGTTAATTTGCCCCTCTTTCTGTTATGATTTCCGTGTCTGATCTCAACTTTCATCTGTCTAAGGCTGAGACTCCACTACCGTAAAAACGGTATAAAACCCCTCACTGTAAAATATTTTACACCTGAGCATGTTGTAAAACCAGCGTAAAAGCAAGTTGAACACTGCTCAACTCTCCTTTACGCTGGTTTTACAACCTGCTCAGGTGTAAAATATCAGGGTCATGTGATTAAAAGCTTTTACAGCGAGGGGTTTTATGCCATTTTTACGGTAGTGGAGTCTCGGCTAACTCTGTTTTTTGAGAATGAGGAAGGACAGAGAGAGACAGATGAGAGTGTGAATTTATAGGTTTGCAATTCTTTTAAATTGCAAGCTAATAAGTATCCTCCAGTATCTGAATGGATAAAACTACTGAATATCGGTAGTTGGTAATTGGTTTGCGCATTGCCAATGGACTGGTCATGTGGAATTTTCTGGGCTTTCTTTGTATTAGTAACACTTCAATTAGGGCCAGTTTTTAAAAGTCTTTCTGGGATACACTCCTTGACAGATCGCTCGTGTGTCATGTTGCTGTAACAAAGTAAACTGAATCAATTCTAATAATTGTTCTATAAGTGCAATATTTACAATGACATGCTTAACTACTAGGAAACTGATTTCATCTCCCCTTAGTAATTCAAACCTATTATCCCAAACTTCTTTCACTGATATGCTGAAACATGTTCTAATGTTCAGCCAAATTAATGTATGTTCAATGATTTTAAGGCACAAAGTAAAGCTTGAAGCTTTTTCTGTGTGGATGTTTATTTTTCTTATTTATTAACATGGCAGCATTGCATCATTCAAAATTTCTTGTAGTGTAGTTAGTGTAATGTGCACTTTATACAAGTCTTACTGTCAAATCTGCATCCATTGTTATGCCACAAGTTTTGAAAGTTTCCTTTACTTAGATATTTTTGCTGAGCTTTACTTTTTCAACCTGGTTTCACCCAATTTTTTTAATGGGATCACATAAAAACAATTATTCTCACATTTTTACAAGGTTTATTTAAACAAGTCTTATATGAAGTCTTTCAGACATTAAGATTATCAACTTTGATCACATGTGGGCCATTACAACCTATCCAACATGGATCACTTTTTAAATATTAATAGTAAACCAGTATTAATTAGTAGTTGTTGACCATCCTCTCTTTCAGTAGGTCAACGACTACTTTTGGTCGATTTACTTCAGCCCTTCTTTGCAACAGCCCCCGTTTTTTTTTATTAGACCAGCAGCATGGTGGTATTCGAATAGGAAAATTACATAATACAAGGTTACTGGCGAACACTAAATATGATTTAAGTGGTTTTTGAGGTTGCCGAGTTTAAATATTTTGTCTACTTTTTGCAAAATTTGATTGATTGGCAGATTATCATTTGATATTCAGCTGTGGATGGAACACCTTGATAGAGCTAACATTAGAAAAAATTCTGTCTACTTGACCAATGAAATTGTGCCATTTTGTACCATCTGACTATAGTGATAAACATGACAATGGTAGGCTGAAGTAACCAAACTTTTTATATGGTTTCTGTTTTAATATTTGTTATATTATAGTATTTGATTTATATAAGAACAAAAGTTATCTTACGTAAGGGTTTATCACACCAAGTGACCATGACCAACTAACACATTTTAAAAGTTCTTTAAATTGTGTATTGTAGAGGAATATAGAATTTTAAAAATGTGTTAGATTGGTAACTTGGTGTGATAAATCTTTACATAAGATAACCTTTGTAGTTATATAAATTGAATACAATAACTTACTGGAATGTAAATACTTAAAATAATCAAACATTTTAGTATTTCCAGCAACAAAGTATTTAATAAAATAAAAACATTTTTGACTATATAAGCCACTTTAAAACTTTCGTTTTAAAGTGGCTTAACTGAAAAAGACTATTAAATATAGTCGAAAACGTTATTTTATTAAATACTTCGTTGCTGGAAATACTAAGGTGTTTGATTATTTTAAATTGAATACTATAATGTAATATAATAAAAGCATCAGAAGTATGAAAGAATCTGGAACACAGAAAAAATAAATGGTGGTTCCTTCTTATTTCAATTTTATATCAATTTTATTAATGTTTGTTTTTATTCTTTGCTTGGGCAATGCTGGACTTACTTGCTAGTAATATATTAATGAAACTTTTTATGCTGTAGATTACATGTATTAAGAGATGGCAGAGCAACCGACTTTTGGATGTGGTAGAGGAGGTCGTGGTGCACTTTTATTAGAGGCACTTAAAAGTCATACCCGTAGACCAGGAATAACATCTGAAAGCAAGGTTTTGATTAGTTACAATTTTTAGTAAGAAAAACATTTTATATAGTATATTATAATAATTTAACTTTTTTCCTAAAAACGAAGGAAGCACCTGTTTCAGAACATGAAGCTGCAGCCCAGGTATTTTTGATTTTAAATTTTAAATATTTAGAGTAGTTTTAAATTAACAATCTATATAAGTTTATTTTTCTGAATTTGAATGATTTGGAAAGTATTTTATTAAAAATTTATATTTTGAGCTTTTGCATTTTAAAATAATTTGATTCAATCTGATAAACAGTTTTTGTATTTATTATAAAATTAATTTTATAGACACAAAAAGTTACAATTGGAAGAGGGAAACTATTACAAATGGCGATGCAAAAAGCCTCAAGTAGTAAATCAGATGAAGACAGTTGTAGTCGTAGTCAGACTTCTCTAAATAGTCAAAGTATTCCCACACCAGGTGACAAGTTATTTATATAAAAATTTATTGTTATCAAAATACTTAAATCATTTTAACTATAGTTGGTTGTGTTTTGTTGTTTAATCATAATTGTATTTAATTAAAGTTGGTCGTGGCATGCTTGGAAGAGGAGCTGCTCTATTAAGTTTGAAACAAGATAGTTTAAGAAACTTACCTTCTTCATCTGCTGCTTCAATATCAGGATCATCATCATCATCATTTAGTGCAGCAAGATTTACTCCAGCGTCTGAACTTCCTAGTGCTAGGATTTCTTCAAAATTTACTCCACCTGAATCTTCAAAGTCAGAAATTTCTTCTGTTCAAGAATCAATGTATTTATTTTTATCTTATTTCTAAAATTTAAATATTATTTACAATATAATATATATGTATGTATATATTTTATGTGATAGTCAAGAATCATCATCTTTGAGTGCTAAAATGTCTAAGTTAGCATTAAAGCAGAAAAATGCAGAAAAAGAAGGACAGTTGTAAGTTATCTTGAAAATAGGCCATATAATTTTGTTACTTAGATAATAGGTTGATTGTTTAAACTTTTTTTTATAGGATGGAAGTAGAAGTAAATTATGTGAAATTGCATGTTATGGAAGGGAAGGGCGTGTTTGAATACCATGTTAATTTTATTCCGCAAGTTGACAGCAAAGGAATTCGATTTAAACTGTTAAATGATCCTAAAGTAAGAACTATAATTGGGAAAACTAAAACATTCGATGGTGCAAAATTATTTTTACCTTTTCAATTGGAAGAGAAGGTATAGTGTTATATTTTGACTTGAATATTATATTTGAAATATAGAAATTACATTAACTGCTTAAAGAATTATATGTACACATTTTCCCCCCAGGAAACAGTTATATCTGTAGCTTCACCTATAGATCAATCAGAAATAATGATTAATATTAAATTTGTTGGTAAAGGCAGTTCTTCTGATTATATGCATTTATATAATATCCTCTTTCGTAAAATTATGTACAAACTTAAAATGACAAACATTGGAAGAAATTTTTTTGATCCAAAAGGAGGTATTACTGTCCCACAGCATAAGTAAGTAGCTATTTATTAAAAAAATAAGTTTTAAAATAGTTTAAAGTTTTGACACATTATTATATGTTACTAGATTAGAAGTTTGGCCAGGTTATATAACTGCTATACAAGAATTTGATGGAGGAATCATGTTAAATTGTGATGCTTCTTTTAAAGTTTTGCGTTCAGTAACTGCATGGGATATTTTGTGAGTATTTTAAAAAAAAATAAATTTTAAGCTTTTAAGTTTATTTAATTTTGAAATTTAGCATTATAGCATTTTTAGTGTTGTATGAATGGTTTCTCAATATTTATATTTATTATATTTTAAGATAAGTCCAGGAACATATATTGCTGATTGCTACAAAACAATATTTAAAGTCAAATATTTTGATTCTTAATTTCTGGAATGTTAGATCAGTCAGACTGCCAATAAGTAAGATGACAATAGGTGACAGATTCCAAAATTTATCACAGAAAGTATCAACTACGACATCATTCCTCATTCCATACAATGGCTACCATATTATGAGTCATTATTCACAATAAGTTTGTAATAGTTTCTCGTTGTGACTGACCATGTTTATCCACAATGGAGCAAACACTTGATGTTGGCCAACTCTCGATGACAGATGAACAAACTATCATCATTGATACCTTTTTCTTTTTTGGGGGTCATCCCCTCTAAATTTCAATGCCCTTTTTAGGCAATGTTAACTAGTTAGACCAATGACAATTTTTTTGTTATGTTCCTGATAGTCAGTCAGTCAGGAGATGTGTTATCTCTGGACAAGGAAGCATGTGGGAAATCAGATCACTTTTTGCAACTTTAAGTAAAATTTTTTTTCATTTAGCCCATATGTAACAGACCATTAGAAACTGTTTTCTTTGTTTAAATGCAGAATTTAGATGATTACTGTTTGTGTTTAATTTAAATTTCATTCTATTCATACTGAATATCATTATACTAAAGATTATAATTTTTTGTTTTTGCTAAGTTTTTATCAGAAATATAATTAATTTTTTAATGTTTAATCTGTATAACTATTTAACTTGGATTTTCTAGGCACCAATACAAAAATTCAAAATTATTGAAATATTTCATATACAAATATAATTTTTGTATTAATGAAAGTTTCATTTATATTCAATCTGTGTGTTAAAATAAATTTTTTATTTTTGTTGATAAAATATACATGTCATTGAATTTTGTCAATGTTCAATGTCATTGAAATAATGTACTTATTTCAATAGTGTGAATATTATATATAATTTTTTGCCATTAATATTTTTCAATATAAATTTCATTCAATGTTTATAGTTGAAAAATCATCATATGAGATTCCTATTATTTTTACTTTTTATTAATTGTTAAAGTTCAATTGAATTTATGTAAATCCTTATTAAAACTGAAATGTTTTATTTTATTATGAATTAAAATTTGTATTTTTATATTTTACAGAACTGAACTAACTTGTACTCATGCGAAACAAATTCAGGATATGGCAGCAAAACAATTGTTAGGATCTATTGTGTTAACTAGATACAACAATAAAACTTACAGAATTGATGATATTGATTGGAATCAAACACCATTATCTACTTTTACTAATAGTATGGGTCAGAACATAACTTACAAGGATTATTACAAGTGAGTGATTGTAAAATGTTTAACTTGCTCAATTTCATTTGTAAATTTGTTTTTTAATTTATTATTATATTTTTTCATTTGCACAATTAATAAGCATATTGACAATGATGATCAATCTTTCACCTGAATTATAAGAATATTGGTTAAAAATATTTATTTAAAATATATGAATTAATGACACAATGAAGTTTTTCATATAAGGTACGTAGATGATAACATAAATGCCTGAAACTTTCTCTGTTAAATTCAGATTTTCTATGTAATGATCATATTGTAATATCATGTAATTTATAGATAACTGATTTGTCAGCATAAACTATATTGTTCTTTGTTTACGTTACTTCTATTATATGCACACACTTTTACACTCACTCACATCACACACACCAGATGCAAAAGAGATCTTCCAGTATTGCACAAGTGTATGTAAGATCTGTACATATCTGGAAAATCAAGGAATAAGATTTTAGCAGGGAAAGCCAGGGAATTCATCTGTCGCTCTTGCTTTTTTTTTTTTTATCTAAATATGTCTTTAACCCCTTAAGTTCCCAACAATTTTTGATATTAATGTAATTAAACATAAAAAATACTTAAAACTGAAAAAAACGAGTTAATTTTGAAGAAAAAGCTTCAAACTTTATTTTCCTTTGTCTGGCCTTTCTGCAAAATTTGACACCAGTGAGTCATTGTTTACACAGCTGGATGACCTTGAACACAGCTGGAGTCGGATTTCCCGGGATATTCTCAAGTCTCGGGGAGGCGAAGGGTTTGTAGTAGGGTGAGTAGAAGATGGCAGTATATTTTTAAATATTTTTAAAAAATTGAAATTTTAATTGCAATTTCTGACCCCTCCAACTTAATTAAACGTATATATAATAAAATGTATTAATTAAAAAAATTAAAAAACTATTGGAGGTGGTTTTTGACATCAGAAAGCAGCTTTAAATAACTTTACGGAAGGAAAATCCGTGCACTACAACTTTAGAACGATTAATTAATTTTGATAAAAAATCTCATTAAAAAACAATTAAGCCTTAATCGAGCCTTATCAAAAGCTAATTAAAATCATGATAAAAATTTTTTGCGCGGGTAAAAATTTTTGAAAAAATTTGGAGACTTAAAAAACATTTCAAAAATTCAAAAAAAAACAAAAATTTTTTTGGGGTGCCGAAAGGACCGAGTTTTATGTAAGGCTATATAGCCTGCCCGAGTTAACTCGGGCGAAGAACTTAAGGCGTTAAAATATGGATGAGTGTATATTTTTATGAATGAAAAAATATATTACAAGTTCTGTTGAAAAAATACATAGATTGTTTGAATTGAGTGGCTCCAGTTTGTTCCAGGGGAATCAGCTTGGTGTCGCTAGGTTTGTACAGATTGTCTGGTGATAAAGCCATTTTCTGATTACAGATATTTTTATTTCTCGATTAGATACATGGTTTTTAGTGAAGTGCGATTTTTTTTGTTTGTCAGATTTCAGAATGAATGACCTCATGGAGCTTGTTGTGAAATTTTTTGTTAAACTTGGAAAATCTATGACTGAAACATTTGCTATGCTCAACCAGTGGGTAGATGAAACGTCCCCCAGACCCAAAAAAGCTCGCCAAGTATGATCCAATGTCAAGGTGATGCTGACAGTTTTCTTTGATGCTAAGGGTGTTGTTCACCATGAGTACCTCCCCAAGGCTCCACAGTGAACCAGACTTACTATGTTGAAGTTCTGAAATGTCTGAGGGATGCCATCTGTTGCAAAAGGCCAGAAATGTGGAGGAGTGGTGATTGGTTTCTCCATCACTACAATGCTCCAGCCCATTCAGCCCTCAGAACTCTTGAGTTTTTGGCCAAACACTCGATCACTGTTCTTCTCCACCTCTCTACTCACCTGACCTTGCTCCTTGTGACTTTTTCTTGTTCCCCAAACTCAAAAGACCCTTGAAAGGAAGAAATTTGAGACGATTCCTGAGATTAAGGCAAATGCGACAAAGGCACTGAAGGATGTTACAAAATAAGCATACCAGGAATGTTTCAATAAGTGGAAACACCATTAGGATAGGTGTGTGTGTGTGTGTGTGTGTGTGTGTATTTTCATTAAATACAGTAAAACCTGTCTATGGCAACCAACTTTGGTTCTTTCAAAAAGTAGTCTTTTAGACAGGTGGTGCTGTAATACCATATTTCTGCATGTATTTTGCATACAGATATGGCTAAAAGCCATATCTACTAAGCACAACTCTAGATGAGCAAAAATAAGCAAATTTTTTCAACAATAGAGCTATATAGGTGCTGTATTTTATTCTTATCGGATAACTTGATTAACAGAAGTTGTTGCAATTTTATAAGACAGATTTATTATCAGTATTTTAAAGATTAATACAGTATTCACATTAAAGTGCACTTGTTCTCTTTGTTCGCTCCTCAGTTACGTGTATTACATCATTGATATGGAAGTGTGACGTATCTCTCCACCACTTTTTTGTTTTTTTTGTTGTTGTTTTGGTTTTTGTTAGTTTAATCTTATTTTAACATTAAAAATGATGTATTTTTTTATATTTAATATTTTCTTAAGTATAATAAAAAAAATAAATTTAATAATAATAAAATACTTATTATTTCTTCTCACAATACGATTTCATTACATCAATGACAGCTGCAGAATCAAAAAAGAAAGGTTGCCTGTAAAACTAATTTTTGCATTAATATATTTATTGTTTTTTGAATATTTTGTGTGCAAAAATTACTTGGATATTATTTTTCTAAAAATATTGTGGAAATAAGGTATGTTGATACAGAAACTACTTATTGCACATGTACTGTATATGAGTTTCAAAAGGTAAATAAATAAATAAAATAAATTTTATCAAATGATGAGATCAGATATTTTATACCACTGAGGAAAATACTGTAGGTCTACGGTAAAATAAATTGCTTTTTCCCACAGTTAAACTTTGCTACTAATTGCCATTATGATAAACCGTTTTCACTTTCTCTGATAACTTTAACACGATTTTCTAACAACAGCACTTCGCATTTCTTTTGTTTTTGGGACAATTTCAAACAAACTGAAATGAATTTCCTTTGTTGCTAGACTAATTCATTCACACCTGCACCTATTTTCAAGGGTGGGAGAAGTGCCCAAGGTTGGTTCGAACAAGAGTTTAGACTAATTCATTATATTAGGAAGAAGGAAACATTGTTGAGATGGGTTCAAACAATATTTTAGACCAGATATATTCGTGGAAGTGGATCAATTATTACAGTTGTTGTATATTGTTTCTAACCAAAAATTGATGCCCATGGTTGTGTTACACAGGTGGTCATTTAATGCAGGTAACTTATACGAAGATTCTATGTATAAACTATTCTGTGCCAGAAATTTTTTCCTGTTTTGACAGGTGCCCATCGAATGCAGGTGGTCGCCTAAGTAGTTTTTACTGTATATGCACACATATGTGTATGTATGTATGTATGTATGTATGTATCTATTTTGAAAGCTATAATAAGATGAGTGCATTTTATTTCAGGAAATCATATGACATTGATATTAAAGATAATTCCCAACCATTACTTATTCACCGTCCAAAGAAAAAAAATATTCCTGGTGCTGCGGATGGTACAAACCAGGTATGAGGTTTTTTATTTTTGTATGTAGAAAGTTATATTTAATATAATTTATCACTAAAATAATAATAATATTTTTTATTTTTATAGGATTCAAAATTTCTTTGTTTAATTCCTGAATTATCATATTTGACTGGATTAACAGATACTATGAGATCTGATTTTAAAGTTATGAAGGTAATTTTAAAATTATTTTAAATTACATATTCATATAAAAAATTATAAGGAATGTGCAGTTTAAGTGATGTATGTTACTGTGTTAATTATAAAAAAACATCAGTTTGGATATTTAGGGATAAACCTTGTATTTTGTTATTTAAGTTTATTTTCTTCTGGAATTGTTCTGATTCTTTGTGTATCTGGCATGTGATATTAAGTGAATAACAATTATTGGAATGTAGATTTATTGCTGTAGTTGTATGTTTTGAATTCAGATATAGCAGTGAGTTTAATGTGTTGTTGTGTACTTTAGCTAGACTTTTTTATTTATGTATGTTCTACAAGCTTTATCTGTTGTAATCCTAAATAATTGTAGACTTCTCTTGATCACTCATTCTTGTGCAGAGAAACAGATATCACTTCTGAGTGCAAAGTCGTCTTCCAACTGAAACTTTTCTATAGAATTTTCTATTTATCTAGACCAGGAACTAGCAACCTGTAACTCCAGCTAACTCTGAGGTATATATGACCCTTTGAGTGTTTCTATGGCTCCTGATATCATTCTCTCTTTCTTTTTGCAGAATGTCTGGATTATTTTAGCAGCTGGTGAATTATTACATTTTAGAAAATGTTCATTAAGAAACTATAATGTCCTGTAGAGCAGTGGTGTGCAAACTATTTTCCTTTCCGATCTACCCATTTTGTGTAAAATTTGTTGTGACCCCTGGATAGACAGTAGACATTTACTGTGACTATACTGTTGCACTGCAAGCTAAATATGCTTGTTCAATATGTCTTTCTGTTGCAGTGTGTTCTACTCCTGTTGCCGCAATGTTATCAGTATCACTGTCTGCTTGCCTGCTGGTTGAAGAAGTATAGGTATTAGGTACTAATACAGACAATTGTTTTGTAAAAAGATACAGTTCTTATAAATAGTTTCTTATAGTTTTTACAAATAATATAATTTCATTTCACTATTTTACTGGTACCTGATACTTCTTGAAGAAAAGCCTTATATTTTTTATTGTTAAATAAATTTCTCTGAATGTGGCAACTCTGAAAAATTTTCTTGTGACCCCCCTCTGGGGTCACACACCACTACTGTAGAGTATAGATAACTTCATAGACAACAGGTAAAAATAATGAAGCTAAATATTTTTTATTAGTGATTGCTTTTGTATTTCAGGGTCACTTATAGTTAAATAAATAACTAAATGCTTACTGGAAATATTAAATAAAAATAAACAAATACCTTTCTCTATTCCAGCACAATTTTAATGCGTTGAAAAACGTTTTCGATCGTTTTAATCGATCTTCTTCAGTTCAAAATTTGAACTATATAACGAACAAAGTATTCGAAAAAATACAAAAAAAATTCACATCACTTATTTACAGTTAAAAAAAATTTTATAGACCAGAACAAGTAATAATCCGAGTGTGCTCGATCTGTCGAATATGGTTGGCGTGATAGCACGACCCATCTAAGTTATAACAGTTTCTGATGAGTTACGAAACTTGTGTGAAATTTGTCATTATTGTGGTAAAACACTACATCTGTTTTTTTTTCTATCAATTCTGGACCACTTTTTCTGTTTGATGATATTACGTAATTTGTTTACTCGAATGCAGTACACTTTTGAATCAATTGTTAAATTGTCTGGTAAAAGCTCCAAAAAAATTTTCCTTAAAATCCCACCAAATAGAACATTTCTCTTTAAGAACTCGTGGAATTCATATATTGAGCTTTGAAACGAAACCAATTTGTTTCAAGTACTCATAAACAGTTCAATTTGACAAATTTAATCTCTCAGTGATTTCACGTGTTGTTATTCTGCAGTTTGCATCAATGGGTACTTTTATTTTGTTTTCATTGGCTTCAATTGGCCATCCATAACATGGTGCATCTTCAATACTGAAATTTTGATAACGAAATTTTGTAAACCAGTTTTGGCACTGTTGTTCTGTCAACACATCTCTACCATACATGTCACACGATTTTTTTCTTGCTTGAACGGCATTTTTATTCTTTCGGTAATAAAAACACAAAATATGCCGAAGATGCTGCTTTCGATCTTCCATATTTGATGGGACACACAAAATAAACAATTGCACGAAATCAAACAAAATTTTCTACAAATAATCCTTAAAATGCTAGCTGTCAAAATATATAATGATAATACGGTTTAGAACGAAAATGGGGGAAAAATATGACTAATCTGTCTAGTGGAAAAAAAAACGAACTTACTTTCCGAACAACCCAATATATATTCCTTACTGGTATGAAAATGATTGTTTCAAAAGTGCGTGGTTAGTAGGTTAGTATATGCACATCTGTGAGGTAATGAAAGGGAAATTGTAGTGTAGAAGTGTATGAAGTGAACATTGTAGAAATACAATTTAGAAGTATAACCAAACTGAATATAATTAATTTAAATCCAACTGTGAAAGAATTTTGTACTGTGATAATTAAATGCATAAAATAAGCACAACAAAAATATACATGTATATACATAGAATGATGAAGATAGGAATAAATTTAAAAGTAATATTGAGCATAAAAAATAAAGATAAAAATACAAGTAGTAACAAAGATAAAATTTATAATATAGTGATGCAATAACAGAAACGTCTATCAACAGTGCTACTGTACTGTAATCTTAGAAAGGATCATTGTACTTAATTCATTTAAAACATTCATTATATTTTCATTGAATGACATTTTATTTCAAGTAATTTAAATTTTATTTCTTGGAAAATGATTACCAAATCATGTATTGTCTATGCACCTTAAAAAGTAGATGTCATTAAATACAGTTTTATTATATTTAAAATGTTTTTTTCATTTTCATATTCTATAACTGTGGATAAATTGATTTAAATTGAAATTTAAAAAATTGACTCTTGTAAAAAAGATTGTCAGAACCTAGTTTAGACTAATTTCCATTTGTATGTCTTGAATGAATGTGTTATTTAAAAAGTCATTTAGCTCTGTTTGTAGGGAAAATAAACTTTTTCATCTACTGAGTTGTCATAATTAAAATAACCCCATTCACTGTTGTCTAGAGAGATATTTAGCAGTCCAAATAAACCATATCTGTTACGGAGACATTTCAGAACATGTGGAAGACTTTCTGTAAAGAGTTTGTATCAAAACTTACCACTACAATACTTTTGGCATTGCAAGCAACAAGAATTTTATTTGTATGATATTTGTGATGTACAGAGACCTTAGCTACCCAGAGTATACTGCTTAAGAATAGGAGGTTCCTATTCTGAAAGTGTTTAACGGTTTACCATAATTAATCCTTCATGATACTTCTCATTTGTTATATGGTGCTGTTTTTCAAGGCTGCCAAATTTATAAAAAGTCCTCAACAAAGCATACTTTTTAAGTGTTTGCCAAAAATTGCATGAATTCAGCTATGGAAATCAAGGAGACAAGCAATAAGAAATGCATGACAATCTTCTATTGGTGAAATATTGGCACATAAACTGTTCACAGTATCCAATATGTAGAGGTACTCCATCTTGCATGAAAGCAGGTGACTTAATCTGTTTATTGAATGTGAAGGTGCTGTAAATCAGGATTAAAAATGTTGCTAATTAATTAATGTAATAATAATTCTAATGTTTTGGTAATTTCAACTTAAGTAGTTTATCATATTGGCACTGGGTTTTGTGTATTTTTATATCATTAAGAAGGTTATTCAATTATCCTATTTATTATTTTTTTAAGATTATGAACTCTACACTTAACAACAATATCAATCAATTATATATTTACTCATACCTCCAAAAAAATTTTCTCTGACGTCCTAAAGGTGAGATCACCCCACTTTGATGATTACTAGTCTAGGTATAATTACAACTCTTTGTAAAACAAGTAGTACATGACCAAATTTTGACTCAGAAACAAATTGCTGCCATTTACTGATGCTTTTCATACTTATTTCAAATAATTTATAGTTTAATTTCTCCTTACATGTGACTAATAAACTGATAAATATCCAATGAATCAGAAGCAGCTCTTAATTATGATTTTTCTTATATTTTATTTAATGGTTTATGCTATCAGAAGTTTCCTTTCTCACTGATATTGCTGTACATGTAATTAGAATTATTTATCTCCTGCATATTACAAATAGATAACCAGTGAGTTTTTATATTATACTTAGTACAAATATATATTTTTATGATGTTACTTGACAGAAAAATAATACTAAAATAAATAAAAAATAATACTAAAAAATAATACTAAATAAATAAAAGTTGACTTCTACATGACTTTATACCAGTATATATAATAATTATATATACTGGTATAAAGTCATGTAGAAGTCAACTTTTTAAGCATGAAAAATATCTTGCCAAAATTAAGGGTTGACTTTTATAATTGTATCAATCTTAGAAAATAGCTGAAAATCTTAGAAAATGAGATTGACTTATACAACTGCATTTGTAGTTCAAATATTTATTTATACAATACAAAGGCATAAACTATGGAGATAAAATTCTAAATAAAATAATTATACATGGGCTTTATTTTACAGGATATAGCATCCCACACACGCATAACTCCCAATCAAAGACACCTTGCAATTAAACGATTTGTTGAAAATATTAATTCTAATCCAGAAATAGTTGAAGATCTTTCTGCCTGGGGTCTTCGTTTAGAAGATGCTGCAGTTAAGGTAAGTTGAAATAGTAACTAGTTATACATAATGTGTATAAATTTTTGTTCCTGGCTGTTATAACATGATATAGGAAAATATTGTAATCATATCAAATTTAACTCTGGGTTTGAAAAATCTTGATATTTTGAGATCCCTGAACCAAAAAGAAGTAAAAAAAAAATAACAGTAAAAATTTTTCAGGTGTGTATGTGTTGATGTCTATTTTGTTAAATATTTCAGGATGGGATAAAGATTAATAAATAAAATTTGGCATGGTAACTTATATACAGGGTGACAATAATTAACCCAAAGTTTGTAGCAATGCTGCACCTGAACTTTTTTATCGTCACCAATTTACATGTTGTTTAATTCTCCGTGATTTCCTGCCCATGTAGATGTAATATAAGGGTTAGTTCTTTATTTTTTAAAGATGTCAAACAAACGTTGTGCAATTTTGGAGCTATTCTGGCAAGGAAAGCGTCGATGTGAAATTGTTTGTTTGCTTGGTGTTCCCAAAATGACAGTCTCGGATGCAGTTCAGCAATTTAAGGAGCTTGGTCATGATGGTGATCATCCCGGATGTGAAAGAAAGCACACCATCAACACGTCTAGGAACTGCAAGATCATCAAAAAGCAAGTTGACCGACATGCAAAGATCTCCATGAGAAGAATTGCTAGTGAGATTGAAATCAATTGCAAATCGATGTGGTTAATGGTGAAAAAGGAACTTGGACTCAAGCCCTACAAGTTCCAAAAGGTTCAGCTTTTCACATACGGCTTGAAAAGAAAAATCATGTTCACAGAATTTTTACTGGATCTAAGATTGACGTGTGACGCTCTCCAAGAATTTTTAGAACTAAGCTTGGAACTACAGAACCACAACATGGACCTATATAGGGCAAATAACAAAATAAAAATGCTAGTACAAGTTTTTGAAGAAAGAAAACAGAACTTTGGGCTCTATTATAGATGTGCTGTAGATGCTGTACGTGATCTTCACTTTCATGGAGTAAAACTCCACGAAAAAGAATCAAGAAAGGATCCAGTCATTGACCCAAGTAAATTTTATACAAAATTGAAAGAGTCAATCGAAAGAAGATTGCTTGATAGCAAAGATGATGAGTTGGTGAATTGGTCTCGTGAACTTGATCAAAAACATTGGCCTAAAGATATTAATACTCAACTGACATTTGGAGAAGAAGAAATTAGAAACTTGTCAATCAGATTGCAACTAAATAAAAGGGAAATGATTCATGGATTCCATGAATATGTTCTTGAAAAGACATATCCAGAAGAACTACTGCATTTGATAAATACTTTGAATATCATTCCTATATCTTCAAGTGAATATGAATGCGGGTTTTTGCAGATGAAGCAACAAGAACTTCATTAAAGACTAAGACAATTTCAGCACTTTTATTCATCAAACTTGTCGGACCGCCTCTGAAACTTTTCGATCCTTCAAAATACGTTGATCTCTTGTTACTCAGAGGACGTCATTCGGCCACAGATACTAACAGTATAAAAAGAAGTTGAGAAGATTTGTTAGACGAAAACTGGACAAAACTTTGGAATATATTATAAACATGTTTTAAATACGATTAATAAAAGTAATGTAATGTATTTGTAATATATTTTTAGTAATGAGATGAGCATTCCACCATTTTTTTCCCCCCCAAAAAAAGCACTGTGTATTCTCACTCTATTTAAATTAGTAAAAAATGTTTTTAGATAATGTAAAGAAGAATTTAAAAGTGCAGTGATAAAAATTTTGGCTTTATAATAAATTTTCATAGATGACTAGAAAAAAATTTTAATTATTCATATAAGTTCTGACCAATGCACGATATGTAAATCTGGCAATCTAGGTGGAAAAAATTCAACATTTTAACTGAATCCAAACTGTTAATTTATTTTATATCTCGATAGTAGACTGTCCACATCATTTGGAAATGGAGTTAAGTTTCCTTGAAATGCAAAGAGGTAGCAAAAGTACATGTCTAAATTTGACTGAACTTACAATAGGCACATACTGTAGCTCTGCATATCACACTTCACTACATCTTGTTGGCTCAATCTGTGTGCACCCCTAACTACATTCAGAGTTTACTAATATACTCAAATCGTAATTTATACAGATTTTCCTTACTACTGGTGGCTGTATTTTTTCTAAATTAAGTATTGTCAACTCAAAGAAATCTTTTGAAAAGGTGAGTAATTTTCATTTAGTCTAACAGCCATATTCAGTAGGCTGAGTTAGAGTTAAATTGAACGTTAAATCTAGAGTTTGCAAGAAATTGGCATTCACAAAGTTAAGTAATCTTAATAGATTCTGTTAACTCTGACTTGAGAAGAATGGTAGTTTAAAGTTAAAATCGAGAGTTGAAGCTTGTGCAATTGTGCTGTTGTTTTAAAATCAGGAGTTGATGCTTGTACAGTAGCACTCTTTTAAAATGGCAACCTACATTGTTTTAATTTATTATTGGGGTATTTGATTGTGTTGTTTTACTTAAATTGTGTGTGTTTGCTATTTTAAGTTTATCAAACTGGATGAGTTTATCAAAATTCATTTCTTTTGGAATGAATTAAATTTGAAGTACAAAGCACCACCACTATACTATAATGAAAGAAGCAAATAAGAAGTGGAAATTTATCTTTCAAATTTAAGGTTGGATTTTAGAATGCTATGTTGCAAAATATGAGTAAATGCAATGCTGCTTCACAATTAAAGATTTGGCAGACAGGTTTATGCAAGGTTTTGAAAAACAGTGAATATTGAAATGTCATTAGGAAAAAAAAATGAGAACATGACTCACCAGAAAAATTGAACTGGAAAAAATAGTGAAGTTGATTTAGCTTTGAAGCTTTTATTTAGAAATGTTTGTGAAAAAAAAATGCTTTTCTTAATTGGCCACTATTGCATCATAAAGCAGAAGAATTAGCTAAAAATGTGGAAAATATTTTAATCAATTTTCAATCAATGATTGGTTTAACTGGAAAATAAGTTGAATATTGCATGTAGACATTCTCATGGTGATGAGAAAATTTCTGATTCTGCAACAGCTGAATTGTGAATAGACAAAATGGCCAAAAATGATTGCCAAATATTCACTGAGAAATATTTACAATGCAAATGAAACAGCTCTTTATTTTTGTGCAATGTCTGATCATATATGTTTAAACATGAAAGTGTAAGGATTAAAATCACTAAAGGAACAAACTACATTTCTTTGCTGTGCTAATATGCAGGGCAAGAACAGACTTCTATTGATTAGAAAAGAAAAATTAGATGTTTTTAGTGTGTGAAACATTTACTAGTGGCTTACTATTCAAGTGAAAATGCCTGGATGACATTAGACATTTCTAGCAACTGGTTATTTAAATTTGATATAAACTTGCAATGAAAGAATGTTGTATTGGGAAATAATTGTACAGCACATTCATGAATTAACAATATGTCATTGTAAAATGTTAAAAAAAAATTGAAAAACAGAGTGAATATTGAAATATCGGCAGGAAAAAATGAAAACACGATTCACCAGAGACATTTCTGCAAATGCATCATTGTTTCAGCCATGCAATAAAGCAGTGGTTCTTAACCTTTTTTATACTCGCGGCCCACCAAATATTTCATAACCCATATTTGATATAATCTTGATTGTATTTTCTAATTTTAATGTTACTTAATTTTATACCTTCAGTTTTAGGACTCATGTTTTTTCCGTTGCATTTTTCACTGTATCATGATGATGATACAGAAGACATAGTGTAGAAAATACTAGTGAAAGTTTTGATGGAAACTTTCACTAGTATTTTCTACACTATGTCTTCTGTTGAAAGTCCTAGTCCGTTATTATTTACATTGTAAAAATTTCCCAATGTGTTTTTCTGTTTTTGCTTATTTTTATGGGTTAATTATAAATAATTAAAACTAAACACACAATATAAGAAAGAAACGCACTATTATTCGATCTATAGTTGATGCTAAAACTAAACTAAAACTAAAACACCCACAAAGTATTGTAAAGATTTTGCATATCTTTTGCAAAACAATTTAAATTTTCAAAGCCTACTGTTTTTCCTAATTATTTTTAAAATTCCAAGCATTAATAGTTTCTTAGAATTAGTTTGGAATAAAAGAAGTAAATAGTGCGGTGTAAGTAGCATATTAGCATTTATTTATTTTGTACTAACAAAGATGTATGTGGAAAGAAATAAATAAAGAAAAACTAAATACAAAAACTTCATTTTTCTTATTTCACTTTTCAATATGATATTCAGTTATACATTAGTTTTCTTTTTATTATATTCTGAAAGAAATTTTGCATAATTTGATGGCCCCCGGCAAACTTATGGACCCCCAGGGGGCTGCGGCCCCCTGTTAAGAAACACTGCAATAAAGAAATCATATCTAACTAGGGATACTAAAGAAGTGAAAATATATGCAAGAATTTTAGAATTAGATAATAGTGAAAGAAAAACTGATGAGATTTCTTTTTCTAAAATAATCTTCCTGTTTGACACACTGCATCTTTTGGCAGTATTATTGGATCAAGGGTCTTCAGGAAAGATTGAGAATTATTTTAAAAAGGATGGTGTTTTTTTTTTAAATAAATAAGACAGTACAGTACATAAGTACATTTTAAATAAGTACAGAGACCTTTAAAATGAAGTAGTGTCTTTTGAATAGTTAATAAATAGATATTAGTGATGTAACGAATATTTGGTTACTATTCAGTATTTGCCCTATTTTTCACTATTCTGCTGAATACCAAATAATTAATCACTATTCGGCTGAATACCAAATAATTAATCACTATTCGGCCAAATACCTAAAAACAGAAGTAAAAATTAACAAAAACACAGTAAATTAATCATTCTGGTATTTAGATTTAATGTTATCGTGTTAGTGTTGTTTGTTTATATTTATTTATAACTTATAACATGCACAAAATAAAAAAGAAAATAATAATAGTCATATGTATTCACAATTTATAATTACAAAGATCAGCACACGTACACACCTATTCGTTTGAGAATTGTCGCACATCTGAGGGTCTGACCCTGCCTATCCTTCTTTTTAAGCTCTCATCTTTGCTCTTCCCTTTCTTTTTCCTCTATCGCTCTAGTCCACGTATGCCTATGCATACATCATAATACACTATCACGATACTTTCGATTCATCACTTTTCCATCGTAGATTTCCCATTTTACAATTATGTATCTCATAGTCTGGTGATAATGGAGAAAAGAGACAGATAGGACATCGGTATAAGTCACAGTTATGATTTTACAGATTCGAGACAATTTGGTAGCCTGGATGGCCCCAGGCTTTCGCCCGTGCACACTAAGTGACTTTCATTACAAGCATTTAGCTTTCCGAAGTCTATGACAACAATTGTTTGGCATTGACTGCCACGAATTTTGTGCCAATAAGATACCTCGACTTGTTCAATTATGTTATCAACTCAATTTCATATTTATTTTGACATTTTCATTTCGTGGTCCTTCTCTGTTCTTTTTCCGTTATTTACACATGTAGGTCATTTTATTGTTATCCACATTTGATATCATCATTTATCACATACTTCCATGACGCTCTTGTCTGTCCGCTACAACTGTCAAGAATTAATGCCATTGGCGAAGCATAGTGACAGTGGGCCAATAGAGAGCAGGGTGCGCGAACCTTGCCATAATGCAGTTTACGTGCGAATTTTTGTACATGCATTAATCAAGCCGAATATTCGGCTATTTGGCCACGCTCCTGGCCAAGTATTCGGTCTGAGGCTGAATATACTATTCGTTGCAACACTAATAGATATGTCTGAAGAAAGTTTAAAAACTGATTGGCAACTGACAAGAAAATTCTAATCTATCCAGTGATGAGTTTAGAAATGTAACAAATTGTCACTGGAGACAGCTCTGGAGAATTATCTGATGAAATTGAAGAAAATCAGCATGAATGTAGTTTAGATCCTGTAACAAATGTTCAGATGAAAGTACTTCATCATGGAGTACAGTACAGATGTGTTGAGTTTTGTAAACATGATGAATATGAATATTTTATTAATGAAATATTTCCAAAAATTAGTTGGCAAATAACACTGGATGAACTACTCAATTATTATTAAAATTAATAAACTTATAAGTTTATTATTAAATTTATGTTTAAACATTTCAAATTTTAACATTTTTTATAAATTATCTGATTTAATAAAGCTAGAATTTTCACTAATTGTGATCTAATTAATGTGATTACATAATGTTATTGGTTGATTATTGTTCTCAATATAGATCTACTGTGTGAAGTGTGTGTGTGCGTGCATCTTTGTATATTCTCATAAATATCTAAAGAATTTGTTTCATTAATTCTGTGTAACAATGTCTTGTGTGCAAAATTTAAAATACTTTAGGAAGTCTCAGAAAATGATTTAAAAAGTAAATTTTTATTTTTAATGAAGATGATTGTTACTTCACAGAAAGGATAATGTAGTGTTTATATTTTATTAAAACCATTTTTTACTTGGATTTTATAGGATAGACATAATTGGGTCAGTAAGTCCTTGCACTTGCATGGATGGAGAAACAGAAAACTATTAAAGTTTTTACTAATAAAAGACAATATTAAACAGCTCATATATTTATTTATTTTTTAATATATGAGCTGTTTTTTTATTTCTCTATTGATGTGAGTCTGAGGACTTAATGACCAAACCATGTGTTGCTATGATCTAATCATTTGCATTTTATACAAAATAACTTCAATAAATTATGAAATATTACATTAAAGTATTGATTATAAATTGAAATTAATTATTTTTAATAGTTTAATGGGACTTCCTTACCATCTGAAGTTATCTACTTTAAAGATAATAGGATTGAAACTAGCAAAGAATGTGACTGGAGTAGAAATTTAACTCAAAATGGTGTTATTGTTGCTGTAAGTATTATATAATGTTTGTATATATATCCTATTTATTTAAAACACAGATTTATTATAATTGGATGTTGAATTATTAAACAAAGAATATAAATTACAGGATTTGTGTTTGCTCATCACTTCAGTTACTTTCACCACAGAAGAGAAAATTGAGTATGAACCACTCGCCGCCTGTAAACAAAAATTGTTCATGTTAATACTCAATTACAGAGAATGATGCCTTGCTGAATAGTTTGCTAGTACTTTATAACAGAATACATATATATGTCTCTTTAATCCGAAAACAACAACAATTTCGATAGTCTATCTTACAGCCTTTAAATCAGAAGCATGCTTTATGAAAGTTACAGGTTAAATATGTGTTTCAAACTTATTTTATCTTTAAGAACCTCTTCAGTGCTATACCAAAAAAAATATAGTAACAATAATGTAACAATATAAAGCGTATAGATTATATCCTTTCATATGAAAACTATTTTATTATTCCAGAAAGGTTTTTCACGTTTTTTTTCTTACAAATCTATCTGCCAAACTAGCATGACACTTCTGGGATTTTTTTAATTTTTCACAAATCCTTAATCAATAAATATAAATAAACCATAACATTTAACATAGAAAAACTCGCTTGTATTATAAAAACATTTTTAATTACATTACCTTTAAAATGAGTGTATATCATATTGCATTAAAATTCTAAATAATCCCTAAAAATTTTGAAGATACATTTTTAATCACAAACAGCAGTAGAAAAACATTACATGAATGCATGGACATAGTCAACCATGAGCAGGAATCTAGCTCATGGTTTCTGCACAGGTTAAAGAATGTGAGTTCATCTGTATGAAAATTCACTATTACTTTTACGTATTTATTTATTTATCTATATTTTTCTATATTAAATTTGGAAATGTCTTAAAGATAAAATTATGTTATTTAAAAACTTAGCTTTTAATAGAACAAGAGAACGAAACATATGTTTTAACAACATTCGATTTTTTAAAAACATATGTTTGTTGCTTCGGTGTACAGTAGTAACTCATTACTCATAAGTTACTGCACATAGAAGCTCTAATGCCGTGAATGAGTTGATTAAATAACCTCCTAATNCTACTTCAATTTGAGCGAGTTGAGAGTGATTTGACAGACTCAAAAGATGAGAGAATTGATTCTTATTGGAGTCAGTATTTTAAATTGGTTGACTCCCTTGGGAATGCAAGATATCCCAGTGTAACCAAATTGGTGAAATCAGCATTGACACTCTCTCGTGGCAATGCTGATGTGGAACGGGGATTTTCAATTTTACGCTGGGCACTTCCTCCTGATAGAGCATCAATGTCAGAAAGAATGCTTAATTCACTTTTGATTGTTAAGGAGGGACTAAACATGTATGACCGAAGCCCACACCTTGTACCTATTACAAAGGATTTACTGAAATTAGTTGCTTTAGCACGTAGAAATTATCAAGATCAATTGGAAAATGAAAAGAAGTTAAAAGAAAAAGAGAAACAGAAAAAAAGAGCAGAAGAGGATGCACAGAAAAATTTTGAAGAACATCAAAAGAGAGCTATTCATGTCAAGGGAAATATTATGGCACTGCAGCAGAGTTTAAAACAGAAAAAAATAGAAGAAAGTGAAATACACAAGACAGGCCAGGTTTTGTTAGAAGCAGCAAACAAAAAACTGGAGAAGGCCATTAATAGCAAGAATATGAATGAAATACGGGCAGCACATGTCATGCTTGTTAGTGTTAAAAGTGTTCAAAAGCAAGAGGAAGCAAAAAAGAAGGAAGCTGNATATGTCAATACTGAAATGAAAATCAGTCTAGCATAGGGAAAATTGGGGAATTACACTGCGAAATAGCGAATTGCACAGCGGCATTATTGTGAATCGGTGTAAATTGAGCCGGCGTAAACCAAGGGCTACCTGTATTGCACTCACTTTTTCTGTATTTCAACTCACTTTTCTCACTTTTTCAGAGGGGAAATGGCACTCCCAGGCCTGCATAGACATTAGTTGGGAATACTTGCCAAGACACACAGAAACCACATGTTTTAAAATTGAAATGCTTTTTGCTGTGTTTCTGATCAGTTTTGATACTTGTTATATCACTGACTACTTACACAGTTATGTGTTTGTGGTAAAGATGAATATGTCTCAAATACTGAACCAAGGTTTTGACTTTTAAGAAAGACCAAAACCAAGAAATTACTTTTAAAAAAAGATGGAAAAAATTGTTCTTATTTCAAAACTCTTTTTGATGCTATTTAATGGGTTAAATTGTATATCAACTTGAATTAAAACAAAATATTCACTCATTTCCCATATGGAAAATTGCAAATTAATAAATTGCATATAAAACTGTTTCTGAAGTCTTGATTAAATAGCTAAATAGAAAAGAAAATAGTAATAAAGTCAATGAAAACAAAAAGTATTTATCTTTTTGCAAAAATTTAGTTCATCTCATTTCTTTCAGAAAAAAATTGCATGAACATCGTCGTCATAAATAATGACGACGATGTTTTTGAACATCAAATAGTCTGTTAATTGTCCTATGACATTGGCAATGACTAATTTTATTTTTCATAATCAATGTATTATATTGAGTTTATAATTCTGTATGATATTGTGAGAAGCCTGGGGTTAAGGTGCGAGACCTAACCCTTTCTCTGATGTCAGCCTGGTAAAGGCCACTCACTTTGTCACTGGATGGCTATTCTATTAGGTGTCGTTGGGATTGTAAGGTCCCTTTGACCTCAGATCCTGACACCAGTTAGGATAGTATTTCTGCTCATCCTAACTTGTAAATACATTCTATTCTTCTAAAGATACATTCAAATAGGAGAGTACAGTAAGACCTCGTTTAACGCTTCCTCGATTAATGCTAATTCAACGTAAGCAGTCTGCTTGAAGCCTAAACTTAAAATTTAAGCTGATTCAAATTATTGCAGTATTTGATTGATTCATATGTAATACGATTATTCCCAAACACAAACCAATCAGCAAAAGGTGGCAATTCATCATAGTGCTGTACTTTCCTTAAATCTATGTTTGTATGGTGCAATTTTGGAAAAATATAACATCATGGATGCCATAGGTAATATCGATTTCGCTTGGCAAGAATTAACTGATAAATGCATGTGGAGTGTGGAAGAAGAAATAACCAGAGGTATCCATGATTCTCAATGAAAACAGCTTATCGTTGAACAAATTGTCAACCTAACTGATACAGCAGTACTAGGAGATGTAGACAAGCAGAATATTGAGGAGTTACTGCAGATTTCTGGTGAGAGCCTTACCAATGACCGCCTTCAAGAACTGGCAGAACAAGGAATTCATGTAGAACTGGAAAATAGTGATTCTGAAATGAAGAACCCAAAAAATTTCTTAACAGATTTCCTTAGTAAAAGTTTGATAACGATAACCGAAATTGTTGATCAAATTGTAGTGAATGATCCAGATTTTGAAAGGAGTGCAAAAGCAAAATGTGGCATTTTGGATGCGATCTTCTACTACCAGCATTTGCTTTAAGGAAAGAAAAAAGTGACAAATGAAACTACATGATTTTATCGCAAAAAACAAGAATTTCAGAAGAGCCACAACCTTCATCACAAAAAAATTAACTTTACATTTCTGTGTGCATATGTTTGTGTTATTTAACTTATATTATTATGCAAATTAATATAAAAATAACTTAAAGTAAAATCTGTTTATTTTTGGTCATGTGTTCCCCTTCCCCTATTTACTCTGTGTTAAAATGTCCTCATTTAATGCTGTTTCATTTAGTGCTTAGTCGTCTAGGAATGTATCTCGCATGTTAAGTGGGGTCTTACTGTACTTCGTTGTTCAAGTGAGGAGTGTGGTGGGTAACTCGATAAGAGTTTGTTTTCCGAGTAATAACTGAATCGACACCAGGTTCAATAAACAATAAATTTAACAGACAAAAAAAAGGAAGCATATGATACAATATGCTTCCTTTTTTGGCAATGACTAATTTTATTTTATACAATTACAGTTATATGCAAGTACAAGCATATATATGATGATCCAATATCTTTTGGATATATTTCATGGGCTGTATACAATCACTAACTTACTGAGTCGACTGAGAGAGAGTTTACAAACATTCAAACATAATACCTCTGAGAGGTTGACGATGTCTTCTACTTTTGTCGAGGTGTATCAATAGGTAGACTTCATTGGAGATAACTTGGCCAAGAGTATAGTGAGTAGAGCTACTTCCAGGGTGGTCTACCTGAATATGGCAAGATGGGAGTTTTGGGCCACCTGCTTATATGGTTGAGTCCATGCTGAACTTTGAGTGCGTGCTCTTTTTTGTCCTCCTAAGCATAGGAGTAGAATCAGATAATTTTGATTTAATGTGGTCTAAGGTTGAGATATATCATTGCATTGGCTGGAGCAGGCCTTAAGAATTTCACAACCTGGTCGGATTGTTGATACTTTCTTGCCAGGTGTTACGACTCTTTTCACCCTATAAGGCAAACTAATTCGAAGTTCTTAGATGTCATCAACGAGGTGTTGTGACTTATCTTATAAACTTACTCAAAACATCGTTAAAGATTGTTGATGATGTAAGGATATTTGATCGTCTTTTATTTATTGGATCAGAGGGCAACAGAAATGCCAGGTGTTAGAAAAACTGGGGTTTTTCCACTTAATTAATTTCACATTTTAATTATAATTTAACTACTTAATTGCCCCCAGGATTTCACTCTATCCTATGATGGTGACACATGCTTGAAGTGTTCTTTGAATTTAAAAAGTTTTAATTTATGTTCAGGTTGAGCAGCAAATTATACTGTAGACATAATTATTTGTATGATTTATTAATAATTTGAATTTTGCAAACAATACAGTAGTAATTATTAATTGATTTGTAAATTGTGTTATTTTGTAAACTATATATATATATATAGTTTAAAAATAGGAATATTGTAATGTATCAGGTCAGTCCATAAGTTTGTGTGTATTTTATGACCTTGAGAAAAATCTTGTTTTGCTGTTAAAAATGCCAGTCTAATGTGATACTTTTTACACTGAAGTGTTAAATTGGATCTCATTCATATAATACTGTTCAGAATTGGGAACATTTCAGTTGTTTATTTTCGTTAAAATGGAAGTAACAGATGAATATAAGAGACATGTTTTATACTTTTTATTTTTAAGTGGTGAGAATGCTACAAATGCAGCCAAAAAATTAAATACTGCTTATAATCAAACTGTAACAAGTGTAAGGACTGCGCAGAAGTGGTTTGAAAGATTTAGAAATAATGATTTTAGTGTGGAGGATAAGGCTCGTACTGGAAGACCCGTTGACTTTGATGATGATGCTCTCTCTGCACTAGTTGAAGCAGAACCATCTTTAACAGTTGATGAAATTGCGGAACGTTTAAATTCATCCCATGGAACTGTTCATAGACATCTACAACAAATCGGAAAAGTTTCAAAGCTAGGAAAATGGATACCACATGAACTGTCAATAGCTAACTGACAACAACGTCAACTGCTCAACTCAAAAGCTTCAACTGGGAAATTTTACCTCATCCACCATATTTGCCAGATATTGCTCCCAGTGATTATCATCTTTTTCGGAGTTTGCAGAATTTTTTAAAAGGAAAAACTTTTGAGGATGAGAACAATGTAAAAAAGGCTATTTCTGAATATTTTGATTCAAAACCGAAATCATTTTACAAAGATGGGATTAAAAAGCTACCATCAAGATGGCAAGAAATTGTACAAAATAATGGTGAATACATTATAGATTGAAATAAGATTTAATTAAAATTTTTTGTTGCTTTTTTTGTAGATAAAAATGCACACGAACTTATGGACTGACCTGATAATATAGTAGTAATCAGAAAATATTGATTGGTGACAATTTATAATTCAATAATAGTATAATTCATAACTTTTAATCAGTTTATTAATTTAAAAATTAAAATTAGGGACAGTAAACATTGTTCAATAAATAGACTACATAAACTTTATAGGCAAAAATAAGGAATAATTTTATAAAATATATTAAATCAAATGAAACAACAATTAGTAATATGCAATAAATAAGTCTATAGAATTTTAAATCTCTTACTTTGAATACAGTAGAGCGTCGTTTATCTGAATCGTCGGTTATCTGAAAGAATTCCAGTCAGCAAATTTAAATTTTTGCTAGTGCTGTGGTGCTGCAATCTTTGGCTATATCTTGGGTTACTCCAATATTTTTTTGTTGATGTGTGTTTTAGCTGGTAGCACTGGCACTTTTGTGTGGTGTTTTTCAGAGGACTGTGTGTCGTGCTGAATTGAACGTTTTTTGATACTAGATTAACTTCTAAAGTATAAATTTTTTTGTTTTTATATTTTTCAATATATTTATTTTGTTTGTAAAAAATAAAGAAATAATTTGTAACGATACAATAGCCTCGATTATTATTTTACAAAGTTTACATTAGGCTTAACATCGATGAAAATTCAACGCGAAGCGACACTCAACGGGGAAAAATTTCAACATGGGATATTTTTTCGTACATAATCAGTTATCCGAAAAATAAGTTATTCGAACAACCCCAGTCCCCAATTGATTCGGATAAACGACGCTCTACTGTATTTACTTCAGTTGTTGCTGACCTACTCTTTCAATATTCATTTCAGTCAGTGCCAACCGATGTTTTTGATACACTGCATAGTTAAATTCTTATAAAAAGTTTTAATTGGCAAATATTTTAGCTTCTGTTATTCTGAGTAACATTTTGAATGAAATTCATTTTATTTATGCTTTATCTTTATAGGCATAAAATTAAGCCATAAAACTGAATTAGCTGTATGGTGAAACCCCTGTGAACTTTGACATGTTGACCTGGAAGTTTTGCAGGCACCTCACTGATAACGAGAAAGGCTTAAGTTTAAAATTTGAGCTTTCTAGACCCATTATTTTTTTCTCTTTGGGTGTCTGCAGTGCTGGATAAAGAAAAAGAAGAAAATACAGCTTTTTTGGTTATCTGTGTACTTTTCAATTGCTTATATTTCAGCAACTGCTGTACAGAAAATCTTAAAACTTTGCACACTACCTAAGAAAACAATTTGCTTTTGAATAAATTATTTGGAATTAGTTCAGATATTTGGGGGACAGAGAAATTGATTTCTGAAAATTGGCAATTCTGATTCCTGTATATATAGTCAATCAGTGAGTGACTTTCTTAATTTTTAATCTGAATGTTTGGCTCAGCATTGTTCAGTACTCATCAAGGAGTCAAAGTTTTTAGGTGAATTAGAAGCATAAAATATTACATATGTAATATATTTAAACAACAAAAATTATATTCATGAAACTGAAAAATTTATTAACTATTATATTAAATACAAATGATATTGAGTGTTGTTTGTAATATGAAGAATGAAATATACATATCTATATTGATAATTATGTTGGATTGAATTTAAAACAATCTACTCTTATTAAATTTTTTGTATTTTTTTTTTCTTCTCATTAATATTTCATATATATTTTTTTAGGTTGATCTGGAAAGATGGCTAATTGTGTTCTGTAAACGTGATTCCAGTAGAGCTCATGATTTTATTCAGATGTTGAGGAAAATATCTAATGGTATTGGCATTAGAATAAATGACCCACAGAAAGTTGAAATACGTGATGACAGAACAGAAACATACCTAAAAGCAGTTAAAGATTGTGTTAATCCCCAGGTAATATTAGTATAATAAAATTAAACAATTTTTTATTTATTTATACTTGAATTAAATATCAATTACATATTATGCAATATATTTATGTATTGTATATAGGGTGGATTATATATTAATATGTCAATGTATAAAGCCTGATCCTTTAATTTATAGAATAAAATTAGATTTTTTTGTATTGTTGTCTTCTACAGTTACAGCTTTGGAGAATTTGTTATGCTCAAAGTTTTTATCACTGATACATAACTGTTGTTGTCATATTCACATAATCATACTCTTTTAGCAATCTATTTTTTGATTGATGTCAGACTTGTTATTGTGAATTTGCATGTCTCCTCATTAGATGTGAAGTACTTGCCTTTTAGAGTTTTCTTCAATTGCAGGAATAGGAAGAAATCATATGTTGCTAAATCCAGTGCTGTAAGGAAAACTAACTTAGAAGATACAAAAATAGTATTTTAAAACTAAAAGAGAACAAATATTATTTACAAATTTGAAAGTTCTAAATTTAAATGTCAATAATTGTCAATCTATATCTATAGTAATACAGTAGAGTGTCGATTATCCGAATCAATTGGGGACTGGGGTTGTTCGGATAACTGATATTTCAGATAACCAGTTATGTACAAAAAAATAGTTTAACGTATCCGATGTTGAAATTTTTCTCTGTTGCGTGTCGCTTTGCGTTGAATTTTCGTCGATGTTAAGCCTAATGAAGACTATTGTATCGTTAAAAATTATTTTTTTTATTTTATACAAACAAAATAAATATATTGAAAAATATAAAGACAATAAAAAAATTATACTTCAGAAGTTAATTTAGTATCAAAAACGTAAAATATTTGAGCAGCCCAAGATATAGCCAAAGACTGCAGCGCCACAGCACTAGTGAAAATTTAAATTTGCCGACTGGAATTCTTTCAGATAATTGACATTACGGTTAATAGACTTTCAGATAATCAACGCTCTACTGTATATAAAGCAAGAGTGTTTGCTTGTTTGCTAGAGGTAATCACGGAATCTACTGAATCAAGTTTTTAGAATTTTTTCACTTTTGGATGGACAAAAACAGTACGTAGCATAGCCTACATACTGTTTTGTCCATCAGTATGTAGCATAAGCTACATAATGTTTTTATATTAAAAAAAGAAAAATGCACGAGAATGATGTTTTTACCACTGCATTTGTCTTACATTATTGTGTGTCTGCTCTGTTTAAGGTCAATCTCCTTCAACACCTGGTGGGTGAGTGGGCTTTTTTAAACTTGTTTTCTTATATTTGAGATTTTGGTTTTGATTCATGCAGTTTGGGTAGTTGTGTAGGCCTATATGCTTTGCTTATGTTGTCATGGTTGTTCATTCCTTATAATACTCATATATTACATGAGATATAGCCTGCTGAAATCAACCTACTTCTGGGGTATAATCAGGAGTCACGCTGCATGCTCCACTATGACTATCACATTTAACTATTCAGCCCAGGTTACTATGCCAGCTCTGAGGCTATGTTAAAGGCATTGATTGCCATTCCTAAAACATAACTTGCTTGGAAATGCAACATCCACAAGTAAGGTTGTGACTGGAACTGATGCTATTGGGGTTCCATATTTGGAGGCAAATATCTTGCTAAGGGTTGCATGTTGAACTTTTCTTTATTCTTTACTGATAAATATTGTTAGAATATCTGACCATCATACTGGATTGTCTGTTAAATGCACAATAGGCTTAGAGTAGAGCACACAGCATGACCCCCTATAGAGCCTGGAAGTAGGCTGGTTTTTTGGATGCTGTATCTCTCAAAGGGTCACATATAAAGATATGATTATTTTGAACTTTTTGCTCCTGTGGGTAAGCTCTACAGTGCTGTTAAGGTCCTAACAGTGTCTTTCACATCTTAAATCTTATCAGAACAAGTCTTATGAACAATAAAATGCCTTAAAAAAAGTCACAATTGTCATGAAATCCATCTGTGTCAAGGGACCATTGGAAAGCATATTACTTTCTTATGTATATAAGTTACCTTAAAAGATCCTTTCTACTTCCTGTTGATTTAATCTTCCCTACAAACTCCCAAACTCCTTTGACCAATCTCAACCAAATTCCACACAGTTACTCTCTGGTATCCTATGGGAGACATGGACTACCATAAAACTCTGAACTCTCTCTCCTTCTCTCTGATTTCTTTCCTACTCCAAAACTCTCAAACCTTTTGAGTAATCAGGACAAATTTTGCAGTCTCTACAATCCTCTAAAAATTATAAACTACTTTCAAACTCAAACCTTCACTCCTTTCCCTGATTTCTTTCCCACAAATTGACAAACTCTCTGATTTGCACCAAATTTTGCATAGTTACTCTCTGCCACCCTGCGGAAAACATATACCACTCTATAACAAAGACAACTCAACTCCCTCCCTGAGTTTCCAGGCAATGCTGGGCATTCTTTGCTAGTAATTAATAATATCTTAGTTACTACCACAATACTAGTATAATGTAGTAATAAGTACACTTATACACTAATAACCAGCAAAAATGAATATATTTTAAACAAAACAATTTTTTTTCTTTTGTTTTAAATGGACATTTTCAGGTTAGAAGAATTTAAATAGAATTGGATGCATATTCTAAAAGTAGAACACAACTACAATTTAAAAAATTGAGTGTTACGAATATGATTGAGGTACACTCACTCAGCATAAGTAAATCAAAAAAACATAACACCTTAATTTGCTGAGAAAATTTAATGAAAAAGCAAATGTTTTCAGCCAAATCTGTTGACCATCATCAGGCTGAGATATTCGAATATAAATAAAATAGAACATAAATTTAAATACAAATAAAAATAACGAATGACATGTATATATATTGTAGGTCAGACCTATCTGCAATGGGGATGTAGTTGTAATCAGTCAAATGGAATAAATATACTGCTGTTTTGTACATACTAAACTACTAATCACTCAGTAATTTTTATTTATGTAATAAGTTATTTTTGTANTATAAAGTATTTTTTGAAAATATCCTTTACAAAATTAATATTTTAAAACCTTGTTTGAATATAAATTTCTGTATCAAATTTTTAGGAGGAATATTTTTAAATGTTAGGGTTTATACATACCACAGCTCAAAAATGGTACAATTGCAGCTCTGGCAAGAATTATTTCGATTATTTTTCAATTAAAATAATAATTTACCAAATTTTTGAATAGTTAAACCTACAAATTTGTAATTTAGAATTTTTATTTCACATTGTTTTCTTGTTACAACAAAACGGTTTTGGTACAATCATATGAATAAATGTTTGTTTGATATTTTGCTGCATTTTGTAATGTAATTTAGAATTTTTATTAGTCAATTATTAAACTAACAGAATCAATATTATAGGTACAAATTGTAGTTATAATCTTTCCTACATCAAGAGATGATAGGTATAGTGCAATTAAGAAATTGTGCTGTGTTGAAATGCCTGTACCATCCCAGGTAATTAATTCAAGAACTATTTCTGATCACAAGAAACTTCGAAGTGTTACACAGAAAATAGCATTACAGATGAATTGCAAACTTGGTGGAGAATTATGGAGTCTTCAAATTCCATTTGTAAGTATTACATATGATAAGATTATTTTATATTAATTTTATTTGTTGAAATAATTCAATGAATTTTGAAATAATTCAAAATTCATTGAATTATTTCAACACAATGTATTCTTTTTCAAATCTTTGCTTTTTCATTTTAGAAAAGTGTAATGGTCTGTGGCTTTGATAGTTACCATGATCAAGCTGTAGGAAGAAGATCTGTTTTAGGGTTTGTAGCTAGTTTAAATCAAACAGTTACCAGATGGTTCAGCATGGCAAAATTTCAGCAAAAAGGACAAGAATTAGGAGATTATTTAAGAATTTGTTTGTTATCGGCTTTACGAAAATACTATCAAGTAAGCACAACTGAAGCATGTGTAGTTTTTAACATCGTGTTTGGTTTACTGCATTTTTGAGTCATATTAAAATATTTTATAATGTTTAAATTTCCATCTCAATTTTCTGTTTATTAATTTGCAATTATTTTTTATGAAGTTTATACTTATTTTTATACTTTTTGTTTGTTTAATTATAGGTAAATCACTTTTTACCAAATAGGATATTTATTTTTCGAGATGGTGTCAGTGATGGACAATTAAATCATGTAGCAAAATATGAAGTAGAACAGTTTACAACTAGCTTCAAACATTTTCAGCAAGATTATAATCCTCAATTAACAGTAGTTGTAGTTCAGAAAAGAATTAATACCAGAATATTTCACTGTTTGGTAAGAAATCTTTTGTTATAAATGTCTTATATTATAAATGCTGGGTTTTTGTCAGAAAAAAAGTATATTATTGAATATTGAAAAAGTATTTTTAAATGAACAGTAAGAGAATTTTATAATTTTCTCTACTCCAAAATTTATTTCTTGCAATGAGTGGCATCATTTTATATTATATCATATGAAATATAGAAATATTTCATATTTTATTTATTTAGAATATTACTAGCAATGTCATTAGGACAATATTTGCCAACCCTTATATAACAAAGAAATAACAGAGCCAGTGAAATAAATAAAAAATGTGATAATACAGAAATAAAACATAAATATAAATAAAACAATTAAATAAAATAAAGCAATTTTTTGCAAACAGCTTTAAATTTTGTGAATTCAATATAAAGTTTATCTTTGATTTTACAGCAGTTTTTTGGTAGTGGTTAAAAACAGATTTAATGGTAACATTTTAAGATAAATCAACTATTAGTAATTTGTTTATACTAATATTTTTTCCTGCACAAATACTAAGCTGCATAATTCTTATTTTGTAACAAATCTTGTTTAATTTAATATATTTACTTTTTCACAGGTTAATTTTTATATTTGCTGTCCTAAAATGTTCACTTAAAAAACAGTTGTAATAAAAGTGAAAGTATCAATATTTGTGAGTTCTTGTAGAATTTCTTTATTCATGTATTTTTTTACACTGGTCTATTATATTGTGTACAGGGTAACTATTCATAAATTCTGCGATGAACTTGTGCAGTGATGCAAATGAAAATCTTTTTTGAAATTCTCTTAGTAAATTAGTAATTTCTTTGCACATACAGTAGAACCTCGATTATCTGGACCTCTCTTATCCGGATTTTTGATTATTTGGATTGTTAATAAACAAAAATTTTACAAATTTGCTGATTTGCACTTGGCGAATTATGATACTGTTTATGTACGTGATGAAATTATAACTTTTTTTGTTTCGACAACATCTCACCCAGCACAGTGGCCGTAAACTCTTAAATATATTTTGCGTCATAATAAAAATATAACTTGACATATGTATTCATAAATAATTTTGTTTTCAAATTACATCATTTCTATGACCAAGGGCGGTGTAAAGCATGGGCAACGTGGGCTACTGCCTATGCCTCGCAATCCAAAGGGCCTCGCGTTTCGAAGGTTTATGCATTACTTAAAAGCCGCGAACGAGAAGAAAAAATTTTACTCGTCATAAAACGATAAATCGTTTGACAAATTTTTATTCATAAAAATGCATCTTCTTGCGCCACCAGAGGGCCTTTTAAACAATAGGTAGTCTGTTAATGTTGGTCAGTAGTAGTCCAAATTCAATACAAACGTTTGTTTCTTGAAAATTTGATCACAATTTAAATACAGTATTTACTTTTAATATTATCGATATGTCATCGAAAATAAAACGTGTTGTATTATCATTAAAAGACAAATTAAAGTATTTGTTTTGATTATCCGGATTTTTCCTTAGTCGGACTACCTTCATCCCCAATTAGTCCGGATAATCGAGGTTCTACTGTATTTAGAAAAATGTTTTTGTCACTATTAAATTTATGTAATTTTGGAAAATGAATTGTAGTTTTTGATTTTAACTGACTTTCATAAAGTTTGAGTTTTGCTTTGAATGCTTTTATATTTTGATAATTCTGTGATCTGCCAGGTCAAAGAAAAGGTCATGTTGAAACATAACCAGATGAATTCCTTTTTTAAGTGACTACTGGAAATGAAAATGGATTGTTTACAATAATATGTGGCAAAAAAAATGTAAAAGTCAACTGATTCCTTTGAAATGCACTTAAAAGCCACATCCAAAAATGACTATGCTGAGTATTTAGTGAGACTGGCAGAGAATTATTTTTTATGAACTGCTACCTCAAAATCAGTCAATTAATTCATATAAAAACAGTTCCCAACTTTGTAATCTGAAGACAGCCTTGAAAGAAAAACAACCAGAATTAACACACACATTCTGTGTGTGTTAATTCTGGTTGTTTTTCTTCCAAGAAAATGCATATGTAAAAATGTAGAAATAGCAAGAACAAAAGGCATGGCTTTCTAGCATGACAATGCTAGAAAGCCATGCCTTTTGTTCTATTTGAACTAATTTGTTGTTACCCTGCTGGATTGGATGTAAGGTTACTGAAACATTTATTAAAATAACATTTAAAAATTTTTAATATATAGCAGAATCCATTATTGTAATCATTTTGGGACTGATTTAATAACAACAACAGCACTGATAAAAATAACTGACTAATAATATTTATTTGTGGCAGTAAACTGAGACTACAATTAGGCAGACTTTTATTGACTATGATATTAAAAAGACATAAATTGTTTTTTAATTGTTTTAATAATTTGAAGATTTATTAATTAATACTAATTCTAGTATATAATTGAAGCAATTAATGCCCAATTTAAATTATTGTACTGCCAGTAAATAATGATTAAAACAATGTTTAAAGTAGTAGTTAGTATTGATGATGATAACTGTTAATGATTGTGCCATTATAAATCATATATTGAGGATTATAGCATAAAAACAAACTTAAAAATACATACCATACATTTCTAAATTCAACACTTATATCTTTATATCACCTGTGCGTTTTCTGTTGAGTCCCTCTGTTGAACGATTTGATGTCACATTTTGTAGAAAAAAGAAACATTTCCGTTGAAAGGGCACTTTTCATGATGGCTGACTTCATTAAGGAGAAGGCAACGATTGTGACTGTTTAGCTAAATAATTTAAAGTAACTCACTTAACCATTATTTGAATAAATCCTTTTATTCAAATGAACCCTTATCTGTATCATTTTCTTCTATACTGGGTCTTTCGGTCGTACTCAATTTTGGATAAGTTCATGGAGGTAGTTTGTTCCTGAAAAAAAGTTTAATATTTCAATATTGATCAAATTATCCAACATAATTGTGCAATGACATGTTTTATCCAGACAGATTGTTCATTAATCTGTCTGGTATTACAGCATCCACAGCAAGAGTGAATCAATAGTTTTTATAAGCAAAATTTATTTGTTTCATGGATTCCACCATGCTAAGTTGTTGAATACTCAATTGTCTTTCATGTTGTTGAGACTGCTGAGCTCAACGGTGAAATAGCACTGAAATCACTAGTCTCAATGGTTCATTTAGAAAAGTCATTTTCTCATCATTGAGTTGAATATAGAAATGTACAGATAGTTTCCTGAAGATAATGATAGTTGTAACTGAATTTCTGATTACAGTAAGTAGTTTTATAAGTGTGTTTTAGTTTATATTTTTTGAGATATTGAATTAATAACAATATCCATGATTACAATGAGTGGATTCTGTTGTGTTACAATTGGTTTCATTTTTTGCAATGTTTAAAACATTTATTCAAATATTTAATTAAACTAAACACACTCAAAAACCTTTAAATATGGCTGCATATTTCAAGGTTTTCTTGAGTGTGTTTAGTTAGTAAGAAATTGCAGTCTATGATGAGTTCTATTTAATTAAAGTTATATTTTACTAAAAGTGAGATGTTATTTAGAAAAAAAGCAAGTAATTTCAATTTTTAAAAATATTTATAGAGAGGTGATTTGAGTAATCCTAATCCAGGTGCTGTTGTCGATAATATAGTAACAAAAAAGAACTGGTAAGTATTTATATAGTAAGAAGTTAAAACAAAAATTATAATTTTTAATAAGTTAAATTTTTATAGGTATGACTTTTTCCTGGTTTCACAACATGTGCGACAAGGAACTGTCAGTCCTACTCATTATATAATTGTTCACGATACCAATGACTTGTCACCTTATTTGATGCAGCGATTAACTTATAAAATGACCCATCTTTATTACAATTGGCCTGGTACTGTACGTGTTCCAGCACCTTGTCAAGTAAGTATTTTTGTGAACTTGGTTATGATGTTATTAGCTTTTTCATTATATTTGAAAATATAATTTATAAACAATAATTAAATCCATAAACTAACTTATCATCTAGGCATGAAAGTCTAATTCTAGTATATAATTGAAGCAATTAATGCCCAATTTAAATTATTGTACTGCCAGTAAATAATGATTAAAACAATGTTTAAAGTAGTAGTTAGTATTGATGATGATAACTGTTAATGATTGTGCCATTATAAATCATATATTGAGGATTATAGCATANCGAAAAGAAAACGTGTTGTATTATCATTAAAAGACAAATTAAAGTATTTGTTTCCATTATCCGGATTTTTCCTTATCCGGACTACCTTTATCCCCAATTAGTCCGGATAATCGAGGTTCTACTGTATTTGAAAATATAATTTATAAACAATAATTAAATCCATAAACTAACTTATCATCTAGGCATGAAAGTACAGTAAACTCTTGCTTTATGACTACTTACTTTATTTTGGGTTGTAAAGGTAAAATTTAGACATTTTGATAAAATCTTTATTTGATTGTTAATTTAATAGTGATTACAGTTGTCTTGTAAGGTGCTGTTCATAAATTATATCTGTATTTTTCTTGAAATTTGCACTCCTTTCCCATTGTCACAGTTTGTCCAAGTTTCTGAAACCCCTTCCCTCTTTGGACATCCAACAAAACTCAATTTCACTTAAAAGTTTTAACACTTTATGAATTATAGATACCATAAATAGAAGCAATGGAATTAATAGAACACTTATGTGCAGTGGCGTTACAGGAATCCAGATACGGAAATTTTTCAACTTTTAGTGAAAAGTTTTTCCCGCTAGCACTTTCAGTAGTGTAAAACTACCATCATCAGGCGGTATATAGAATTTGATAGTTTAAGCTTTCCAAACAATATTCCGACGGTTTTTTTAAATTACAATATCGAACATTTCGAATGATATTTCCGACGGTTCAGCTGATTATGGTTTTTGAATATTATTTAAACGTTCTTACGTCATAGCGCGTATAAATGATGATAAATAAATATTAAAGTGAGAAATGTCTGTAAAAAAGCATAGTTCATGCATGTATGTGCACCAAGGCAAATTAAGCCTATGAGCAACGAAGGAGTATTTTTATCTTGGGTTGAGTTGTTTGAAGACTGTTATCCAAATTTGTGGGAGCTTGAGAGTTGGGGAGTTGCATGGTATTGTTTGAAGACTGTTATCCAAATTTGTGGGAGCTCGAGAGTTGGGGAGTTGCATGGTATAGTAGTAGAAATGTAGAGTGTCTCCGAAATAAATAGCTCTTTTTGTTCATTGCAGCATTTTAGTAATTTTATCTCGTTCCATAGAGGCTGGTAGTTGTGGTCAAGTACTTTCTTTGCTAACTCTGTAACTGGTCTGTTGTTTTTGATGTCTTCTTGATGTTCTTGGATATGTGAACTTAATTTTCTAGCAGTAGCTCCTACATAATTAAAGTGCTAGTGGGAAAAACTTTTCACTAAAAGTCAAAAAATTTCTGTATCTGGATTCCTGTAATGTCACTGCACGTAAGTGTTCTATTAATTCTATTAATAGTATACGTCGGCGTGAAGTGCAAACTTATTATATGAAGCAATGGAATTATGTCCAAATTTCTCTTATGAGATTGCAACCTTTCTAGTAAGTTATGACTGTGTTTTTCATGATGTGTTTATTATGCGATTGAGGTAATATCTTCAGAAGCATAGAAAATACAGCTGGGCATTTTGTAGATGTTACTCCTTTCATATGATCCTCTTCCTTGATCATGCTTAAATTGTTTAAAAAAATTAATCCTTGCACATTCTTTTTAAAATCTTTTAATAAAATTTGGTTTACATTTGACTGGGTTCCCTTCAAGGAGGAGGATTTGTTCCAAGGAGCAGATCAAGAAAGGTCATTGGTCACTGGGATCAAAGACCCAAAGATAAAGAGTAAAGTTCCAGATAGACTGATCCATTTATCTGAATTGATCCAACTCAAGTTGTTCTTGGCCAGCTGCCTTCCATTGTTTGCTTATTTTATATTATTGCTAATCACTAAACCTAAGAGACTGTTGGAGGTTTGGCTAGAGCATCTAGTCTGTTCCTCCAACACACTCTCAGTATGATTATCATCTACCTGTCTCCACCATCTTTCAGACTTTGCCATATTGTTTTTCAAATTGACTTTTCCTCAAGATAATCTCAAGTAATTTTCAATTCATTGCTAGTGGTGTCAGAATGCTGAAATAATCTTCCTACAATACTTAGACACAACTGCTCAACAGGCTAGTTCATGTGTGTATGTTTTGTTGCTTACTACTTATGTATATGCAGTACAGTAGTATGATAATACTTGCATGTAGTACCTGAAATAAAGAAGTAATTGAAAATCTACAAATTTCATACCATCCAAAAATTAAATACCCTAAATTTCTTAGGATTACAGTCAATCTATGGAGATTTTTCCATTAAGTGGTATACCAACTTTTTAAATATTAGTAGATCAACATTACAATATACAGTAAAACCTGTCTATGGCGACCACCCACGGTTCCTTCAAAAAGTGGTCTTTTAGACAGGTGGTTGTCCAATACAGGTGGTGCTGTAATACTGTATTTCCGTACTATTTTGTGCACTTTTTTAGCCATTTCTACTAAGCAAAACTCGAGGTGAGCAAAAATAAGCGAATTTTTTCAACGATAGGGCTATATTGGTATTGTATTTTATTTTTATCGGATAACCCGATTTACAGGAGTCGTCATGATATTATAAGACAGATTTAACACCAATATTTTAAAGATTAATACAATACTCGCATTTTCTCGATTATAATGCACACTTTCTTTTTTCCGACTTAATTAATTCGACTCGGTTCTTTTCGTTCGCTCCTCAGTTACGTGTATTACGTCATCAATATACAAGCGCGTCCTATCTCTCCATCACTTTGCTTTTGGTTTTCGTTAGTTTAATCTTATTTTAACTTTAAAAATACTGTATTTTTTAATATTTAATATTTTCTTAATTAATTAAGTACAATAAGAAAAATTATTAATTAATAATAAAACGATTTTATTATTTTTTCTCATTATACGATTTCATTACAATCGCGGAATCGAAAAAGGAAGTAAAACTGATTTTTGCATTAATGCGTTTATTGTTTTTTGAATATTTTGCCTGCGAAAATTACTTGGATATTATTTTTCTAAAAATATCGTGGAAATAGGTAGGTTGATACAAACTATTTATCGCACATGTACTGTATATGAGCTTCAAAAATATAAATAAAATAATTTATTGTGTACAATTATTTTATATCCCTAAGGAAAATACTGTAGGTCTGCGGTAAAATAAATTTTGTTTTCCCACAGTTAAACTTGCTGCTAATTGCTGTTGTGATAACTTTAACACGATCTTCTAACAACAGCACTTTGCGTTTCTTTCGGTTTTCAGACAATTTCGAACAAACTGAAATGAATTTCCTTTGTTGCCAAACTAATTCATTAACACCTGCATCTAATTTCAAGGGTGGGAGAAGTGCCTGGGGTGGGTTCAAACGAGAGTTTAGACTAATTCATTATATTAGGAGGGGGAAAACGTTGTTGAACAATAATTTAGACCAGATATGTTTGCGGAAGTGGTCAATTATTACAGTTGTTGTATGTTGTTTTCGACCAAAAATCGATGCCTGTGGTTGCATTACACAGGTGATTGTTTAATACAGGTAACTTATACGAAGACTCTATGGATAAACTATTCGGTGCCAGAAATTTTTGCCCATTTTGACAGGTGCCCGTCAAATGCAGGTGGTTGCCTAAGCAGTTTTCACTGTATTGTTGATTTGCTAATAATGTTTAAAAATGAAAATTTAACCAGACACTCGCTACCAGCTGAAGAGAGGTATTTTGAAAAAAAATCTTTCCTTAAAAAATAAATGTACAAAAATTTTGAAATAAATATAATAAAATGCATAAACTGTATAAAATTTAATGAAATAAAATGGATGCCCATAGAAGCTCAACCTCCCCTTGTTTAACTTTGTCCAACTTGTCATAAACCCTCTCTCCCTTCTATTTAACATGTAATTTATGGACAGCCTCTAATCACCATCAATATCAATTATATCTTGCCACCTTTGCTGCATACTTTCAATCCCAGGAGCGTAGAATGACTTAGTTTTTCTTTGAAGAAAGTCTCAAGTGTCATGTATTGCCATTGAACTATATATCAGCAATATGGTTCTGCAGGGTGTGAAACAGATGGTAGTCAGTTGATGCCAAGTCTGGGTTATAAAGTGGATGAGGCAGAACCTTCCTGCCCAAATTGGCTAGCTTATTTAAGATCATCTTTGTTGTATGTTATTACACATTGTTTTGATAGTATTGGACTTTGTCAATTTTTGGAATGTATGGGAACACTCAAGTTGTGCTAATTCTCTGGTTATCAATGGAAAATTATTTGTCTATCAGTTGCAGGAGAATGTCATCATCATTGGTGGAATTGCTACCTGGATGGGGTTCATCTTGAAGTACAAAATCTCCATCCTTGAATCTCCATCCTTGAATCTCAAACCAATATAGTAGGTCTGCCTGTTGACCATATCCTCACCATATGCCTTGCAGACGAGATTGTGTGAGTCTTCATTGCATTGTGTTCACTTTTAAGGTGATAGAACAATAGTACATGAATGTATTCTTTTAAAAGTTTCATATTGTCAGACATTACTGATGTATCCATTTCCAGTGAAATATGGTTACTTAAATACCTATACTGAACATTCTAGAATATTTTTTGCAGTCGTTTCTAGAAAAAATTCAAAATGTATAAGTTTCACCTTTACAACCTAATATTTCTTTGCTTTCATGACTAGATGAAATGCCATAGTTAAGTAAGTACTGTATTTCTAGTAACTATGTTTATAGAAAATTAGCTTATAAAAATAGAGCCCTACTGTGATCTTATGATAAATTCTTTGTTTATATGAAAT